AGACGCTCATGTCCATCAGCTCATCCTTGGTATAGGGGCGGAGCATGGAGTGCTCCACAACCTGGGGAGGAGATGGCTCCTCCCCAGGTTGGTGCGTTTTTATTTTCTTAATTAAAACCGGGTGGCCCTTTAAATCAGGATGGGCTGGTGCCTTGGTGGTGGCCTCTGCAACAGACCAGCCCTTGGCCCCACCCCTTAATCCTCTCCCAACATCTCTACCACATCCAGGGCTGAAGGCACTGGTCATTCCTACACGTCCCGCATGGCCTCCTACAACGCGGTTTCTCCTGCTTCCTCCTCCCTTGCTGCTAACATACCTTCCAGGAGTGTGACCCATCTTCTCAATAACTCTTTCATAAGGGCATCCTGTAGGTCATTGCACAGCTCCCCCAAGTGATGCTAAAGTGGGTCTCTCCTGCCGAAGACCCTCTCTCTCTCTGCTCAGTAACACTTTCCACTATCTCAAGGAAAAGACATCCTACAATCCCAGCTGCTACATGGCCACTCAGGGCCTCTAAGCAGTCTTGTATCTAATGGAGGGCTAATTCCACAGCTTCTGGTGTCTCTACCCTTCCCCAATTCTGGAGAAGGCATCACCACTCTAGGAGGTGCTTTACTCTAGACCAATTCCCCACTAGGGGCTACCGAGTTGGAAGCCTCACAGATAGGGGGTTTCTGGATCAACCTGCAGCCACTAGGGCCTCCCCACCATCCATGGGGGGTTCCAGGGCTCTCCCCACGATCTCTAGGAGCAGCCTGCCAAAGGGTCACACCCATGTAGACAGATTTTGGGTAGAGGTTCTGCGGACTACCACCAGATGTATCTACAGGGGAAAATTCAGAGCAAAATACCTTTGAAACTGAAATCAGTCAAAGGGAGAAAGAGGGAGAAACCTGTTTATTTCTTACAAGCAGTCATCCACTTCTCTCCTGTGTCTCTTGCGACCTGGCTTCAGATGAAGGGATCCCACCCAACCTCTCCAGTCCAGATATGCCCTCTCTCGCCCTTGTAATTACCTATTGATATGGAAATGGACTTCTCTTCACCCCTTGGAAACACCTATCTATTGACCTGGAGATGCACTAAGGCCAGGCGAGAGATTCTGGAAATATTGCAATTTTACCCACAGACTTGTAAACACAGAACACAAAGAAATAGACTCACAAATACAGAGAAACTTCGGTGGGAGCCACCTGGAGCTTCAAGAGTCAGCTTGGTGCTGGGCAGGCAGCTATGGGGTCTGTAGTGAAGGCAGGCACTCAATTTCTCTCTTTTTATATGTCTCTGCTGGGTGGCGCAGGCTTGGTGGAGGGTACTGAAGGCCTGGCTTCCCAGGACCCCACTGGACGCTCTGCTATGGGAGTTGCCTGGGGCCCCTGGGTCAGGCAGCATCACGGGAGTACCTGGAGTCCTTGGCTCTTGAGAAGGTATTTTCATGTGCAGGTGGTTGTTCAAATCCATGTTTGGGTGGCAGGTGGTGAGCTGACATCCCTTCTGGAGACACTTATTTCCTTCCAATCTGTATGCCTTTTATTTCTCTTTCTTACTGCCCCTGATAGGCCCTCCAGTAAGATGTTAAACTGGATGGGTGAGAGCAGACACCCTTGCCTCATTCCTGATCTCTGGAGGAAAGCATTCACTCTCACCATTAAGTGGGATGCTAGCTGTACTTTTTTCTGTAGCTGGTTTTATCATTACCTAGAATATATTAAGACCTCTGAAAGCTCAATGAGAAAAACAATCCAATTAAAAAATAGGCCAAAGACTTGAATATATACTTGAGTAAAGATCTAAATTTGAATTTATACTGACTAAAGAAGATGATAAATAAGCACATAAAAATATGCTCAATGTTATTAACCCGTCATTAGAGAAACACCAACTAAAATTCAATGAGCTACAATTAAATGGCAAATAAAACAAAATAAAGTGATGGTCAGGCAAAGATACAAAGGGAATTCTCATGCATTGTTGTTGGGAATGGAAAATGTAATAGTCACTGGATAACAGGTAGTTCAGAGTGGTAAACATGAACTTAACTGTATGCCCTAGCAATCCTATCCCTAGGTATTTATGCAACATAAATAAAAACTTCATGTGAGTATTTATAGCAGCTTTATTCATTATCACGAAAAACTGGGAGCAATTCATATATCCCTCAGCTGGTGAAAAAGTGAACAAAATGCCACTGAGCAGTAAGACAGAGGAAAAGACTAATGACATATTCACCTGATCATTTCTCATTTTGCTTTGGCTCTGCCAAATTTTAGTTGAGCTCCCCTTCCCACAGGCCCTGAATTCTGGCTTGCCTGAAAGTTTAAACAAACCCTAAAGCAGAGAGGTACCCTACCTCTCCCCTTAACAGCTCATTTTATCACTGACTACAGAATGGCATTTCTTGTTAAATGCCAACTCTTCTCCACAAACTTCCTCCCCCCACATTTCTTGCTTCCCTTCTTACCCTTTTTATAAAATAAGAATTCTTTTCAGAGCTTTCTTCCTACTGCAAGAGTCCTTGTGAATAATGTGTTTCCTTATCAAAGTGCAAATTGGTTTTTATTTGACAAATAATCGATGCACACTATAATATGGACAAATTTCATATGCATTGTGCTAAGTGAAAGAAATCAGACTCTCAGGTTACCAACTATAGCATTCCATTTATATGAAAAGCAAAAGTGTAAGAACAGAAAGCACATTTAGAGGTTGCCAAGGACTTGAGGGCATACAAGGGGGTGTGAGGTAATTTGGGGAGAGGGCTACAGAACTATTCTGCATCATGATTATGATGGTGGTTACATGACTGCATGTGTTTGTCAAAACTCACAGAAATGTGCATACACCAAAAGAGTGCATTTTACTGAATGTTTACTTTCTAAAGTGTTCCTGCTGACTTTCTTTTAACCACTACATTTCATTCATTACATGTATACCTCACAGAATAAATTCTAGGCAGGAAAAAAGAGATGTAGAATTAGATTGTCTTAATGTACACAATGACATTTGGGTTTTGGCTCCATATAAAAATCTCAACCTCGTTCTTTCTGGTTTTACATTAAAGTAAAAGAATCTTAAAAACTCAGTATGTAATGGCTTCCATAACAATTTCATTGTTAGACCAGAAAGATGTAAACCTCCCCAGTAAATCTGTTTGCCCACTTATTAATCTTCTAAAAGCCCAGCTTTGTCTCCTGTATTCTCTGCATTTAGCTCCTCGGGCTAACATCCTCCTTTGTGTCATGCTCCATTTCTCCGTTGTTTACTTCTCTCTCACCTTCCTTATGGTGCACACCTTGCCAGTCTCCCTCCAAACTCATAAACCTCTTACATTCCACTGAGTACAATAACCTTCAAATTTCTAGTTGGAAAAACAATATTAAGAATTATCTCCTAGAACAAAGAAATAAACCATGTTACTGGTCTAATTTTTTTTTTTTGGTATCATTAATCTATAATTACATGAAGAACATTATGGTTTTTTTTTTCTTTTTGAGAGGGCATCTTTCATATTTATTGATCAAATGGTTGTTGGCAACAATAAAATTCTGTATAGGGGACTCAATGCACAATCATTAATCAACCCCAAGCCTAATTCTCAACAGTCTCCAATCTTCTGAAGCATAACGAACAAGTTTTTACATGGTGAACAAGTTCTTACATAGTGAATAAGTTCTTACATGGTGAACAGTGCAAGAGCAGTCATATCACAGAAACTTTTGGTTTTGATCACGCATCATGAACTATAAACAATCAAGTCAGATATGATTATTCGTTTGACTTTTATACTTGATTTATATGTGAATCCCACGTTTCTCCCTTATTATCATTATTTTTTTAAATAAAATGCTGAAGTGGTAGGTAGATGCAAGATAAAGGCAGAAAACATAATTTAGTGCTGTAAGAGGACAAATGTAGATGATCAGGTCTGTGCCTATAGACTAAGTATTAATCCAAGCTAGACAAGGGCAACAAAACATCCATGGATGCAGAAGATTGAAGAACATTATGTTTACTAGGCTCTCCCCTTCACCAAGTCCCCCCCACATACCCCTACTGGTCTCATTTTAACTTGTAGTTTCATAATCCAAAAAATTTAGTTTACTTAAATGGTTTGCATATCAAAACATGTTTCATGTTTGCAGTGCATAACATTCTGATCTGTGTCAAGGGAAACATTCTGATTGCTGGTTTCAGCTATCTAAGCACTTGGCTTAGTGGGTAAAGAACCTTCTCTAAGAACTCTTTTAAGTCTGAACCCTGTTTCGCAGGGAATCCAATATTCTGTCTTCCCTAGAAAAAAAGTAAATCAAATTAAATTCAGGGAGAAGGGAGAAGGAAAGAAGAAAAAGAATGAAATATGTTTTTCAAAAAGTAGAAAACAGGTTCATTAGATGCTATCCTTTCTTCTGGACTGAAGTATAAATACACATTATGTTATTCCTCTTTCTCATCCCATTTCCTACACACGAAGGAATGCTAAAGGATTTGCTTCTTGGTGGGTTCAAGCTGCCACCTCCACCCCAGAATCCCCACATCTGTTTTTAAATTACAAAGGATCTAGTCACCAAAAGTCCCAGTTTTGGGGGGAACCTTTTGTTAGTATACATGTTACAAAACTGGAGTCTGAGTTTGCCTGTCGCTCTGGGGTTTAAATGACCTGTTACTTAGCATTATACTGTGACTTGCCAGGGGGCAAGTTGCCAGGAACCTAGGGAAACTAGGACTGAGAATATAAATGCAAAGTATGTTTTCCCTTTATTCTCCTATAATCTAATTAACTGTTCATTTCTCCTGCCCCAGAAATGTTTAAACACACACAATAAATACAATAATATATGTAACAATTACACACCTAGCCTGCCACCCATCTCTACTTCCTTAAAACCTGTCTCCTATAGACGTTGACTGTGAGGTGCTAACTCTCCTGAAATGCTGCAGTGGAAGGAGAGCTCCTCTGCCGCCTTTTTGGGTTTTTTTAATTGCATCAAGTTTACATTACCAGATCCATTCTCTGCTGTACCATCTGTCTCTAACATTTTCAGTGAAGATTCCTTAGCTGTCATCTTACTTCTTCAATGAATATTTCTGCTTTGTAACAAAGCTGCTATAGGCAGGAACTAAAAACTGAAAGCGAAGTAATGGGTAACCTTTGAATTACACTGTTTTGCAATCACAGCTTCTCCATAAGATGATGAGTTACTAAAAGGAGATTCATTGGAAAATTGGGAATAAGTTGACTATAGGAATGAATATGTCAGACCATTAATATTTCCTGAGCTTTAGTCAAAGGACAAGTAGTATCTGGCTCTGAGGGAAAGAACACTCCAGAACAAATAGAATACATACTTGAAACTGCTAAGTGCTTTAGAATTTTAAAATGCATAGTGCTTTCATCTTAGATCAATTCAACAGGCTTCTGTCCTGTCAAAAAGGAGTAACAGGGACCATATATACCTTTCTGCCTGAATCAACTAAAAAAGAATGAAAGAAAGGAAAGAAGTAGTATGAAAAAATCCTTTCAAGATGCTGGGCATCACACAATGAAGGGCAGTGATCCTCTGAAAACAAAACTGGTGAGCCCTAAAATTGCACCCGCTTATTGCTCAGTATTTCAAAGACATTACTTAAGAATGGTTTAACACTGGGGGAAATCCTGGGGCAAAATTCCTTTGAAACCGAAATCAGTGAAAAGGAGAAATAAAGTGGGAGAAACCCATTTATTGCTTACAAGGAGTCATCCACTTCTGCTCACCTGTGTCTCTCACAACCCAACTGGAGGAAAGGGGGCCCCACCCAACCTCTCCAGTCCAGATATGCCCTTGCTTCCCCTTCTAATTACCTATTGATATGGAGATGGACTTCTCTCTACCCCTTGGAAACACTTATTGACATGGAGATGCACTAAGGCCAGGGAAGAGATTCTGGAAATGTTGCAATTTTACCTACAAATGGGAAACCCAAGCAAATGCTAATGGTTCCAGGAGTCCAAGAGGCAAAAATGAAACAAAGTGTCTAGAAGACAGAGGATCAGAAAGGAAGAAGATGTGCTGAGAGAACCCTGGAGATTTATAGTGTTCCCCTTGAATTCAGCAGTGTACTGATCAGACTCCTGTACTGACACTGAGCAGGTCAGTCCCCCCTGTTCCCACCACCCCCATGAAGCCCTTCAGACTTCTCATTAAAAAGAAAAGCTGAAGTCCCTCAGTTAGGACCTAGAGGATGGGAATTAAGACTGAGTAGTTGGAGATTAAATGAAATGGGAGTTTGAAATGGGAGTAAAGCAAACTCTAGACACACTGGAGTCAAGTTCCTCCTCAAGGCCACAGATAAACTCCTGATTTATGTTTCCTTGAGATGTTTTGCAGGAACTTAGGCTCCCACCAGATAAGCAACTTGCACACACAGAGACCCCAGACTTGGTAGAACCAGACTGACCCCTAAGATTCCTGAAGTAATCCCATCACCTCATCATTAACCAATCAGAAGAATGGGCACATGCTGGTCACACACCCTACAAGCCTTTCCCATAATTTTGCCTTTAAAAAAACTTGTTGATAGTCCAATATGGAATTTGGGGCTATAAGCATTAGCTACCAGTTGTCCTCGCTTGGTGCCCTGCAATTAAAGGAAACTCCGTCATTCCCACTGAGATGGGAATAGAGCCTGTTCAGACTAACCAGACTAGAAAACCTTATCACTTAGGGGGCATTTCAGAAGTACTAAGAATTATCTTACCTAAGTAGTGGAGAGTGATTAGCCAGAGAAAAACCAGTGAGAAAGTACAACTTCAAACTCTTGGTTTCCCCTGTGAATTTACGTTCACACCAATCCGCCTCAATTTCCCCCCAGAACCTAATAAAAACTAGCCTCCCCTTTGCGCCTTCAGACTTGCCTGTGGTTCATGTTAGTTTGCTTTTCCCAAATTGGAATTCCTCTCCTATTCCCAAATAAAATCTTTGTTTAATTAAACTACCATTTGCATTTTTTAAGTTCTTAAGTAATCACAGCACTAGGAGCATCTTTTGTTCTAATGAGGCAACTCTGGGTGGCTTCTGGATGGGCGCTGGTCACAACAATGACCAAAACCTGTTAAGAAGCTTGGAATATTCTGATCCGCCCACGCCCCCCCAAGAGTGGATAGAGGGTGAGGGAAATGGAGTTAATTGATCATACCTACATGAAGAAGCCTCCATAAAATCCCAGCAGTGAGGAGCTCAGAGAGCTTATGAACACGTTGACACAGGAGGGTGATGCACCACAACTTCATAGACATGGATGCTCCTGTGCACAGGACCCTACCAGACCTCACCTATGTCTCTCTTCATCTGGCTGTACATCTGTTTCCTTGATCATATCCTTTAATAAACTGGTAAATGTGTTTCCCTGAGTTCTATTAGCCACTCAAGCAAATTAATTGAACTTGAGGAGGGGGTCATGGGGACCTCTGATTTTGTAGTGAAATCGGATACAAGTTGTGGGTAATTTGAGAACCTGTAACTTGTGACTGGTGTCTGAACTGGGGCAAAGTCTTGTGAATCTGACACTATCTTCAGGCAGATAGTGTTAGAACTGAGTTAAATTGTAGGACACCCTGGTGCCTCAGAGAATTGCTTGGTGGGGGGAAAACTCCCACACATTGGATCAGAAGTGAAGAGTTCTAAGCAGTAAAGGACACACACACAGAGAAGAAACGTAAAGAAGGAAGGAACTGCAGTTTTTACTTTTACACAGATCTTAATAAAGGAATGCCCCAAAGGTTAGAACTGTTGTCCAAATAATTTTTTAACTGTGTCCCAGAACAAATCAAGAATATTTAGAGGAGCAAGGTAAAAATTGACAATCTCTGGACGGCAAAGATTTCAAAGAAGCAGAAAAGTAGGACCCAAGATGAGAAGAAAATCAACCAATAGAAAAAGTCCCAGGACTGACAGGTACTACAATTAGGAGGTAAAGAAATTAAAATATTCATGTAACTCTATTAACTAGAGCCATGAAAGATAAAAGAAAAGGAGACCAACTCAAACTTTTAGTGATAAAAACTGCAATGTCTTGAAGTGAAAAATTCACTGGATGGCTTAGTTAATGGCAGCTTAGACTTGCAGAAGAAAAGATCAATGAACTTGAAAACATAGCAATAGCCATTTAAGGGTAAATTCCATAATAAATTGTCACAGAATCCTTAAGAAAAAGGTTACTCACCTTTGACAAAAGTTACTACTATTAGTATTAAGAATTATTTAAAATATCTATTTTGTGGAGCTTGAGGAATTTTGAAGTACCATACAACATGAATGACTCATGTCCTCCAGTGATACTAAAAGGTAGCCTCTGTTGAGAATCACTGGTGTTGAGTGCATGATTTGGAAAGTCTAAAAATTGATAACAATGACGTTATAAAGGTAGATTAGACACACAAAATGGCCAGGATATAGCCATTGGTGAGCCCACAAAAGGTAGGTGTGCAATGGGGGTATCAGTAATAAAAATGGTGCTTTTAGGAGATTTGATATGACAGTGGCTTGTAATATGGAAGAGAGGTGGAAAGGGCTGGACAGAAAGTAATTAAAATGTGGGGACCATGGGCAGGCTGCAGCACAATGTATCATTGTGATGTGCAGATTATTTTGAGCTGCCCCTATCCTCTTCTTGGTTGAGGATGACATATATAACTCATTCTCCCTGACTGTCTCAGGAACCCATGTCTATGACTTCCTGGTATGTATGTAATGAAACTTTGTTTTTTTCGCCTTTTAATATGTCACATGTCAATTTGATTCTTAGATCAGCTAGAAGAACTTTAAGGGATAGAGGAAATTTTTTCCTCCTGACAAAGGCATACTGCATTAATAAAAATTTCTCATATGGCCTTTTTTTCTATTTTGTAAGCTTTAAATTTCCCAAACCTATTCTTTCTTTTGGTGTTTGTGCTTGAAATGCCCAGAAACTGCCAGCAGGAAGTGTCTCTGAAAAATAAGAGAACTGAACTGACATTCGCCCTCTTTCCCAATAGTAAAGAAAAAACAAAACAAAACAAAACAAAAACAAAACTTTACTATTCTGAATCCTAAAATCTGGTTCTGATAAAATTTTAAATTGACAACATTCACAAAACAATCGTTATTAATTACTATCTTGATGAGTGCAGATTGGGTCATTTTCCAGAAGTGATTTGATTGTGTCAATTTCCAGAATGACCCAGGCAAGGTAGGTGTGAGCTCTGATATCTAGTCAAGACATGGACATTTAAAAAGATCATGATTCTCTGATGCCATGAAAACTACAACAGCTAAGAGCAAAATGTTTTGAAAACAGTGGCACGCCTAGCTGGTATGACACCTCAGAAGGAAACAATTTTTTTTTTAAACACACCCTACTCTGCCACAGAGAGCTTGAGCATACTGAGACCCAGTTTAAAAACAAGACTTCTCCAAAAAGTTGGTGCATTTGTATTCCTGGAGAAGAAGGGGACTTGGGTCAGTTCCAAATGGATTGTAGCTTCCAATTAAAATACCAAGGCTTCTTGGGTTTGCAGGTTTCACAAACTTCCACCCCAGGCACAGGGCACAAGGCAAAGGAGTTGAGGGACTGAGACTGAGACATAAAAGTGGGCAAGACCCCGACCAGAAGACAAAGAACGGTTTCCCTCTCATCTGCAACCTTTCGGAGAGCCCATAAGCCACAGGCAGTGGGCCTGTCCCAGGGAGTTCCCCCTGAGGAAAAGTACAATATTTCCAGAATCTCTAGCCTTGCCTTAGCGCATCTCCATGTCAATAGGTGTTTCCAAGGAATGGAGAGAAGTAACCATCTCCATATCAATAGGTGATCACAAGGGGTGGAGAGCCAACTGGCACCTGGACTAGAGAGGTTTGTTGGGGTCTTTCTGCAGCCAGGTCGCAATAGATATGGGCTAGCAGAAGTAGATGACTGCTTATAAGCAATAAATGGGTTTCTCCCACTTTATTTCTCCCTTTGACTGATTTCAGCTTCAAAGGTTTATTTGCCCCAGGCAGGGGAAAACCTATTTTCCCCCCGGACTTACACCCCCACTCACCCCCAGAACATTCTGCAAACTCTGAGGAAGACGGAGGGTCAGGGGCCCAGGGTATTTGGGTTGAAATTCAGTAAGATTTATTTATAATTGCCTGGCCAGGGCATGAGCTCACCATCCCGCAAGTCATACCTTGCGGTAAACAGAGAAGGCTTGTTTAGTTCTCACAGTGATGGTTCCTCTTCATTCTAACCAGAAGCTCTGGGAAAAAAAAAGAAAAAGCGGAAGAGTGGAGCCCTTAGGATCTCAGGGCTGCAGGGCTCTGGGCTGCTCCCGCAGCAACCCCCGCCTTATGGTGACCCCCTCCCCCCTCCCTGCCTCCAGGCCCTGACCTCCCGCCATTGCTGGCAGGGGACCAGGCCTCCATGTGGGGCTTTTTGCTTTGAGTTTTGCGTCCTGAAATTTAATTTCTCTGAGGGCACAGGAGGAAGCTGTGCCTGCAAACTTGCAAATGGAAAGCGCACTTCACTGGCTTCCTTTGCTCCCGGGAGGGTCACAGAACCCTGCCCAGCCTGGGAGGCCCCACTGACAGTGGACAGACAAGGGCGAGAGAATGTCCTCACTCCCTGGCCCCGATCTTGGGGTGCAGCTCTCCACCCAGGCCTGGCTCCCAAACTAGGTACCTCAGGGAGAGCAGGGAAAGCCCACTGAGGACCTGGAAGCTGATGCCCTGGCTACTGAACACGGGGACGTGGCTCTGCCTCCTTTCAGTTAAGTCCGCCTCTCTTAGCTCTCGAACGTTCTTGGGGGTGATCAGATTTCAGAGCCTAGGTTCTGCCCTGGGGCCTGTGTCAGGCCAATTTGTGTGAGCAATACATGTTATATTGTTAAGCCAGTAATTGCAGAAATCAGTCTTCGAGCAACACATCCCTCGCCCCCAACCAACACACACTGTTTTAATCTCCGAAATCGTGTAGAAGTTTCAGCAGGTGTGATAACAAAAAGCAGGTTGACTCTTTGGAAGATAGTCTGGCAGTTTTTTGAGAAGTTAAATTTACCTATCATATGATCCAACCCTCTGGCTCCTTGGCATGTACGTAAATGGTTGAAGACTGATGTCCACCCAAAACTCTGACACCCATGTTGCTAGAAGCTGTATTTGTAATGTTGCCTAGGGTAGGATATAGGAACAGGAACAAGGGACAGTTGGAACGTGAAGAAGTAAAGCTGAGAGGCAGTATGTATCTTACTACCACGGTGTCTGCTGGCTGTTTCCCATGTTTCTCTTCTAACCCTCCCCACAACACAAACGCACATGGCTTCTAATCTTAGAAAAACCGCAAGAACGCAGTCAGAACCAGTTTAGGACCATCCTGACAGCATTTGGGGCAACCTAAAGTAAATGCTCATTTTAATGCTAAAATCTCTACCCGAGAAGCTTAGAACTAATACCATAACATACAGCATATTAGGAAGCCTGACTTTAGTAATGCAGGCGTGGCTGACTTCACCACACAGTCCCTACAGCCCACCTCCTTAAGCCCCGTAGCCTTTAAACTGGAAACTTCGTCTCCCTCTCAGGCAGACAGGGTTTCCCCTGCTAATGCCAAGTAAGAGCTTGTTCCTCGCTAAACCTCACATGGTGTGACAGCTGAGGCTCATGGATAGGAGAATCCACTGTGCCCAGTAACAACAAATGACAGAACTTGGGAGTAACCAAGATTCCTGTTAATGTATGAATGGATAAACACAGTGGGAAATTTCCAAAAAATGGCATATTTTCTGGGTCTTAAAAAAAATGCTCTCAAGAAAAGACAGAGGGAACTTCAGTATTGCTAAGTGAAAGAAGGCTACCTAGAAAGGCTACATGCTGTAATCTTCCAAATATTTGACATCCTGGAAAAGGCATAACTCTAGACACAGTGAATAGATCTGTGGTTGATGGGGGAGGGTTGTGAGGGATGAATACATGGAGCACAGGGGATGTTTAAAGGCAAGGGAACTATTCTGTATGACACTGTAATGATGGATAAATTGGCATAGAATATAGAGCCCATAGAATACACAATGTAAGTGTGAACCTCGGCACAAACCATGAACTTTGGTTAATAGCAATGTAGCAATATATCTGTTTATCAGTTACAATAGTAACAGGAAACTGTGGGAGGAAGATGGGTGTGGAAACTCTATTTTTTGGTCAATTTTTCCATTAACCTAAAACTGCTCTAAAATAGTCTGTTATTTTTTAAAAAAACCAGACGACTTTTACTCACTATAATTGAGTTTAGCTCAGTGACACAGGAATCTAACAATCATCCTTAACCTAGAACCAAATGTGACCAGTGTTACATGCACAGAGCTCTAAATAAATGTGCTATGTGTGTGTGTAACATGAGCTAAGGAGCCTAAGCAAAGATCATTTGCTGCCAGAATTCCTTAAATATAAATATGAAAAAGGCCCCTTAGAAACTAGTGGAGGCTACTATAAATAAGTAAAGGCACCAACCCATACAGAAGAAAGATTAAGGTGGAGAGCTGTATTTTTGCTTTGCTATGACCTTAACTTTTTAAAGAGAAATTTATCCATCCTTTCCAACCATCTACCCTTACTGAAGGGTAAATAGAATTTTAAAGATGTTCATTTCATAAGGCAACCACAACTTACAAGCACTGGTTCCTACCTTGGTGAATCAGAATCACCTGTGAGGTAGACAAACAAGCAAGTAAGAGCAGCAGCAGGAAGAGCAACATGGCTCTGCCCTGAAAACAGAGAATGTGAATGAGGGCAGGAGCAGACTGGGCAAATTATATTTAAAAGCAAACAGAATCAATTGCCTTTTCTTGAAGTAGCTAAATAGAAGCAACAGCAGTATCCTGACCATCCAGATTATAGCAGCTGACAATGCAAATAAAACTTTACCTTTATAGGAAACGACAAAGAGAATATAAAACAACAATATATATACGTGTATATCTTAAAACAGCACATAGTTTAAGAAAGTGAAACAATAATGACTGATTAGCACTAATGGAAGTTAGACTCCTACTCTACCATTGAGACTGGGAGACAGAACTGTCTGCCTTCTTGGCCATTTTACTTCAAAGGGATGGCTCCTAGATCCTTGAGAAAGATATTCCTAGGTTGTAAAACTGGCAAGAAGCTGGCGATTTACATCTCACTGGGGCAGAGAGAAAGAATGTACAACTGCAAGTTTTCTAAAGTAAATGCTTTAAGGAAAAGGAGATGAGGAGCCCATGTCCAGCAGAAACCTCTCTTAAGTATATTCAGGCTGAGGGCAACAGTAAGGCCCACCAGGTCACCATATACATACGTAAATCTTGCTCAGAGGTAAGATGATATTTACTTACCTTCTAAAGTTCTAATAGAAGACCTAAAAGAATATTATATTTCAGTTTGCAAAGTCTAAGCAATACGGATTACATTTTATGTTGCAAACAGTTAAAAGACTCCTAGCAATGCAACCAGTAAGTATTGTTTTAATCCACTGGAATTTGGCCAGACCACTTAACCAAAAGCAGAACTAACTTTTAAGTACTGTGGCCAGGCTTCAGCAGACCTGTGAAGTGGCAAAATTTTATTTTAGTTGTTTCCCCACGTGACTGGATATTTGTAGTACTATAACAGCAAGGAGTGGTATCAAACGTTGCAAAAGGAACCCTGGGTATTGGAGATAGGAAACAGAGTTTGTTCTCTGCTCCTCTATGAAATCAAGAAAATAAAAACTGGGTAACACATATTGGTGAGTCAAATGAAATAATGAGGTTTAAGTATTTTAGTGATAACTTTTACTTTCTGACATTATTACAAAGAAATCTTAAGGACAGAAAGAAAAGCATTGTGCTGCTTTCCAGTACGATCTGTTAGTATATTAACTCAGTTAAAAATTACAGGGGTTTTAAAGCAACTGCCAAGGAAGTTCTGTTACAGAAAACCAGAAAACCTGGACTGAATCGAGGGTGGAAGAACCAAGCGGTACTTGGAGGTCTTGGAGGCTGGAACTTCATTTCACACCAGTGGGCTCAGAGGAGAGTGAGCTCCAAAGATCTGAGCCCTGAGTACAGCAGGGCCATGCCTTTTATACATTTACTACAAAGCTAGGGGGGAGTCAGCACCCAGGAACCATTGCAGTGGGAACTATTAGGTCACTATAGCTGTATTCAGGATGCTAGTTGTATTTTAATCCATTTCTGTAAAGGTTACCTGGATACTGTATTATAAATTAATGGCTTCTATGACTATGATCAACAAGCTGTTCCAGGGGTAGGAGGGAATACGTTGTTATATTCTTTCAATCCCAAGCACCCAAGCACCTTGTTATTCCTCTACATTCCTGAAGTCTTAACAGAAATCCTGTTTCCTTGGCTTTCTTGGCTTCCCACCACACCTGCCAAGAGGGGAAGGGATTTGAGAACTTTCTGAGTATTTCCTCATCAGTTCGACTCTAGCAATTGCTGCCCCATGTCTCCATGTACAAATACCCGCAAATGTGTGGGGAAACATCAAATGAAAACTCTTGAAAATCAGTACCACTCAGTGCTCATCTCTTCCCCCCTCATCCACCACACCCACAGACATCTAGGGGGACCTTGGAATAAAAACCTGAAAATAACGGAGGAATTTTTCAGGAAACTCTTACAGCAGTGGTTCTAAAACTTTGATATGCCTGCAAATCACCCAGAGACCTTGTAAAACTCCAGATATGAATTCAGTGGGTCTGGTATAGGACCCAAGTTTCCTCATTTCTAACCTAGCTGTGGTGATGGGAATTTCCAGCAACTTCCTGCCCAACATCCGGTCAGAAACACTCACTGCCAGGTTAGTAAAAGGGGTGGAGCCCCGCAGTCCTTAGTAGTGTTCTTTCCCAGAGCAGGAGGTGAGGGAGGAGTGATCAGGGAAGTTGCCTTTGTGTAAGGAGGGGGGTGCCACACAGTATAAAGGGGGAGTCTGTCCCCAGGAACAAGCAGCTCTTGTTTTCAGGTACCCTGCCCCACCCCAACTGCCCAACACTCAGGTGCAAACAGGGATCCAGGCCACATACCTGGGGCATATTTAAGTATCTCTACTCAAGAGTTCTTCAAAGCCAGTGGAATTATTCTTCCTAAAACCCCACTTCTGAGACTGGCATCGGTGAAAAAAGGAAGAAGCAACTGAATAGCTTTGAAGGCAACTTAGACAGACATGGGAAGTGACTTTCCAGATTTGGAAAAGTGAATTAGGTGAGGAGGGATGGTTAACTGTCTGGGTGCTTCCCTCTTGCCTTTGGTGTATCCGGCAGATGGATAAAGTGGAATCCACTTCAAGAGTACGTGGAGGGAATTGGGGGTTCATGGTGTTAGGGTCTAGGACTCTGGGGTTTCCCAGAGAACAAGACACACGGACACAGAGATGAAAATTCAAGCAAAGTCTTTATTCAGCCAGCAAGCTGGGGTCGACAGCACCTCCCCTGACACGCAGGCCGAGTCCGAGCTGCCGACCCCGAAGCAACTTTGGGTACTGATTATATAGGATCTTCACAGCTGTTACACCAAAGCCCTCGCAGTTCTACAACTAATAGGTTTAAAACACACTCTATATTGTATCCAATGGGAAACATTGTAACCTTTTTAGGGAACGCGCCAGTTGCCTGCCCACTTCAATTGTTATCTCTTGCTTACCCAAGCATGTCTATGTGACTTATCACGGGTTACATCCTCAGGCGTTCCCAGGCTGTTGCCCACTTCTAGTTATCTAACTTAGGGTAGGCGCATTTCTCAGAAGCTTCGGGTAATTTACACAAGAAAAGACTGGGTGGCTCTCGCTCTAGGCAGTCAGGTTAAGTGTCATTAGTTCTTTTTTCTGACTCTTGATGCTCTCTGCACTCCCTTACAATGGAATGGTGGTTCATGGTGTTAAAAATAAGACAACAGGCCCCAAATGGAGTCTCTCCTGCTAAGCCCCACATCACCAAACAGATTTAATTACAGTGTCAGCTCCCCCAGAAATGGAATCTTAAACCAATCAGGAATAACTGAAGGGAAGTGAAAACTACATCTGATATTCTTATCAGTAAGAAAGCAACACCCTCTGATAGTCTTAAAGAAGGGAAAACTGTGCTGGCAACACCCTGATGCAAAATCGATCACAGACCAAGTCAAAGCAATTAAAAAAGAGACTGCTGGGAAAGAAGAAAGGAGATTTGACATGCATAAAATTGGTATTCCTGAAGCCTAGACCACAACAGAAAAAAATTAATGGGTGAACACTTTACTAAAATAAGAGGTAAATTATGAACTTTACAGAACATAGTAAGCACATCATAGTGAAGTTCCTTATTTTTCAGTATAAAGAAGAAGTATGTATCTCCTAATGGGGTATATCTACCCCCACCTTAGACTTTGCCGCAGACACAGCAATGGCTGAAAATAAAAGATTCACATCTAAACTGTCTGAGGAAAACAGTGCGTGACCAGTTCTTATACCCGCCCAGTTCTCATGCAAATGCAGAATCAAAACTTAACATTAGGAATGTATTGAATACAACATCTGTAGACTCTTTCTGAAAATAAATGACTTAACAAACAAACCCAGCCAACTAATGGATAGTTGAAAATAAGAGTCTCAGGAAAAATGAAGACATTGTATGAAATGGAACTATAGAATCTCCACTAGAGCTAATGATTGTACTTAATTTTGAGGTTTAAACTAAGTAGTGCATAACCAATATTCCCCTACAAAAAAACCAAATCTTCTAAAATTATCCAGCACCACATACCAGGAGACTAAGGAGTCTCACTCACCTGTAAATCATGTAATAGGGCAGGCAGACCCCGGTATGGCTGTGCAAACGGCAGGAGACTATGAACCAACAGCAACCCCTTTTCCTGTAGCATCTGGAAAGTACTAACTTGGGCAGATACCTACAGAAAAAGAACCTTTATAGGAGCTTAGGTTTCTAGAGGGTAATTTCCAGCACTTCACTGTAGTAAAACAAGCAAACAAAAACAAGTTTGAATGTATTAGAGTGGGTAAAAGACTTTACAAGCATTGCCCTTCCCCTAAGCTGGCACAGCTTAGAGAAACATGAAGCTACCTGGGATCCTTCCCATGGGTCAGGGGGTGAGTCCCTGGCTTCCCCAGATGGGTGAGACTTTTCTCTCCCACAGCATCCAGAATACCTAAAGAGTTTATGACACTAGGAATGAGGCAGATAAAAATATCAGCAAGCATTAAAGATTGGACAGATCTTGCTGACTGTGTGTTCTGGACTCCAGCAAGATGCCTGTCAAGGCTTGCTGGATAAAACTTCACCCATGTATTTCCCCAGCTGGCCCAATTCCCTGAGTGCCAAACCCACACCTCTACCGATTCCCTGGCTGGCTCCTGTGCGCACTCCTGAGGGTGGCAGCAAGAGCAAGCTCAGTTATATAGGAAGTAGGCAGAAAATAAGCCAGAGGCTGAGGGCAAGGGAGAAAGCACAATCTTCAGATTAAGCACCACCTTCAGGAAAAGAAAAGCAACGTTACCAAAGTCAGCCTGTTGTGTTATAAGATCCATAGATGAATATAAGCTTGAGAATCTACCAAAGGAGGGAGCAAGAAGCCTGGAGCAGGTATATCCATTCAGGGCCAGAGAATGCCTCAGAATATATGCAGGAGCAACAAAAGGTACCTCTCTTCTGAAGGCAGTAAGGACTGGAAGAGTTGACTGCTACTCAAATGTGAAAACAGTAATGCGAAAGACTCCAAGAAACAGGAAGAATCAAAGAAACATGACATCAGCAAAAGGTCATAATAACCCTCCAACAATCAAACTCTAAGACACAGAGATCTATGATTTACCAAGTAAAGTTTCAAAAGAGCTGCTTTGAGGGACTCAATGAGCTACAAGAAAACACAGAAAGACAATTCAGCAAAATTAGGAAAACAAATATTAGCAAGACTTCAACAGCACATTAAAAGGATCACACAGCATGGTAAGTGGGATTTATCCCTGAGATGCAAGAATGGTTTATATTATTTAAAAATCAATAAGTGCAATACATCACACCAATAGAAGGAAATATAAAAATCATGATTATCTCAATAAATGCAGAAAAAGCATTTGACAGAAAAAACATCCTTTCCTAATAAAAACTTTCAACGAATTGGGTATAATAAAAGCCATATACAAAAATCCAACAGCTAACATCATACTCTATGGTAAAAGGTTGAAAGCTTTTCTTCTAACATCAAGCAAAAGACAAGTGTGCCCATTCTCACCACTCTCCCTCAACATAGTCCTGGAAGTCCTAGCCACAGCAATCAGATAAGATAAAGAAATAAGAGACGTCCACATCTGAAAGGAAAATGAAAAATTGTCTTTATTTGGAGGTCATATGGTCTTATATATAGAAAATCCTAGACACTTAACCAAAAACTGTTGGAACTAATCAACAAATTCAGTAGAGTTGTAGAATTAAAACCAATATATAGAAATCAGTTGCATTTCTATACACTAACAATGGAATATTTGAAAAAGAAATAAAACAATCTCATCAAAAACAATAAAATATTTAGGAATAAATTTAACCAAGAAAGTAATATGCCACCATCCTACATGGATGGAGCCCACCACAGGTGGAACGAAAACAAGACTTGGAAAGAAATTGAAGAAGACAGAACCAAAAGGAAGGATATATGTGTTCAAGAATTGGAAGAATGAATATTGTTAAAATGTCCACATTACTCTAAGTTAATGCTGCCCCTTTCAAAATTCCAATGACATTTTCACAGAAATAGAAAAAATCCAAAAATTCGTATGTAACAATGGAAGACCCCTTATAGCTAAAACAATCCTGAGAAAAAAGAACAAAGCTGGAGGCCTCACACTTACTATTTCAAAGTACATTCTGTAGCTATAGTAATCAAAACCACATGGTACTAGTATGAAAATAGACCAAAGGAATCAAATGGAGAGCCTCGTGTGGGGATGAGCACTGCCCACTTATAACCTTTTGTCCCAGAATAATCATGTGTCCACATGGCCCCCTCCCTCAGGTGGTATGCTCAGTATATGGTATGTTAATGGCTCAGGGCTGGCCAAATCTAGGCCTACCTTAACTGTAGAAATATCACTGGGTGGCAGACCCCTCTGACCAAGGTTTTGTTTCTTGGGGCGCTGGTCACTTATGAATGATCCCTTCTAGCAAGGCACAGCCTCTGTCGCCCTGCCCGTGGCACACACACAGTCTTTGTCTCCCCACCCCACCACCCATATAAGCCATTCCCTCCCTTGTCCACCAGAGTGGTGTGAAACCTCATCCAGCGAGCCTCTCCTGGACTCCTTTTACGTAAGTCCTTATAAGCCCTCACGTCTCACATAGTGTCTCCAGGTCTTTCCTTCAGTTTTTCAAGCTGTTTCCCATCACAAGTGACTGATTTGGGTGTATGATCAGACTTATGATCACACAATTGGCAAGCCAGCCAAAAGACCAAGGGAATTCCTGTGAACACCAAGAGAGAGGGAAGGGGAATTCTGTGAGGGAAATCCCAGGCTGGCTGGCGTGCTCGATGTGGGGGCTAGTTGCCACCATCCTACATGGATGGAGCCCACCACAGGTATATGGAGATGCCCCCAAAATGCCAGAGGGCCTAGGGGAAGTCTTTGGCATGATAGCGGAAGCCTGGGTTATTGCTGTGGCCAGGAAATGGCCCCTCCTTGTGGCAGTTTGGCTAGCAACTGAATCCAAACTAGAAGCTAAAGCAAAAGTTACACAATTACAGGAGGAACTGAAATGGGAACAGGAATCAAGCCTAGGCTAAGCAGAGACAACAGAAACATTATTGAATTGTTTGTGTGAATCTGCTAATAAGATAGAGGTCCCACCTCACATCTGTTAGTATAGTTAAAATTTAAAAAGCAAAACAGAAAATAACAAGTGTTGACAATGATGTGGAAAAATTGGAACTCTCATGCACTGTTGGTGAGATAGTCAAACAGGGCAATTGCTATGCAAAACAACATAAGTGTTCTTCAAAATTTTTAAATAAGACTACAATATGATATAGTAATCCCACTTCTGTGTATATGTTCAAAAGAATTGTAAGCAGGGTCTTTAAGACATATTTGCATACCCATGTTCATAGCAGCATTATTCACGATGTCCCAGAATTTAAAGCAGTCCAAATAGCCATTGTCAGAAAAATGGATAAAGAAAATGTGGTATATACATATAACAGAATGTTATTCAGCCTTCAAAAGAAAGAAAATACTGTCACATATTATAATAGATATGAATCTTGATGATATTATAAGTGAAATGAGCCAGTTACAAAAGGACAAATCACTGTATTATTCCACTTATGTAAGGTACCTAATGTAGTAAAACTTACAGAAACGGAAAGACTATTGGTTACCAGGGGCTGGGGAGAGGGAAATAAAGGGAATTTTTTAATGGGTGTAGAGTTTCAGATTTGCAAGATGAAAAAATCCTGGAGATCTGTTCCACAATAATGTGAACATAACACTATCGAACTGTATACTTAAAAACTGTTAAGAAGGTAAATTGTATGTGTCCTTACCTCACTAGAAAAAAAAGAAAAACACAAAGAAAATTTGTGCAATTGGGGAAAACTACTGTTCAATAATGACAAGGGGGAGGTGGATGTTTTCTGAAAATATTCAAGGTGTAAGAATGTTTTTACAACAGACTATCTCCCCTTTCCCCCACTCGGAGAATTGGAAGATGCTTGATTGTTGGAAGGAATGCAATGGGATGATGGAGAGGAGAGATTGAATAAAATCTCCAAGGGTTAAAGGTATGCCGCAGTATCAGTACCTCATTTAATATTGACATGTGACTCAATGTGCACCATGAACTAGCTTACTTGGATATAGAATTATAAACAAAGCGATTCTTGCTAAACTCAAACAACTGAACAATGCTTATTAGCTTCCAAGAAAATTTAAAACTATTAGGGGGTTAGATGTGGTCTCAGAGAAGTAAGAGAAAAAAGTTCTCACCACTGAAGTGTTAATGCATCATTTGGCTACGGATTGTTTGTTCTCTGCTTGGTCTGCTCACTCATCAGCATCCAGCTAAACTGCTCAAGTATCAGGGTTTTTTTTGTGTAAGTCTTAGTCCTTCAGTGTTCTGGAAAAACAGACACATTTTATACCTCCTTCCTCTCTGTTCCTGCAGATTTTGCACACAAAAAATTTATAATTTATTTGTGATGTGATAATGTCTAGGCTGTTTTTGCAGTTAAATGGAAAGTTCCCCTTGAACCATGACTGTTTTTGCAATGCCAGAGAATAACTACATGGATATAGATTGAAAAGATGAATGAATGTGTGAGGTACTTATTGTGCTTATCCTGGGCTTCGTATCTGCACTGGGGAATAGATACAGAGCACCTTCTGTATTAGTTTGCTAGGGCCACCACCATAATAAAATATCACAAACTGGGTGGCTTAAACAATAGATACTTATTTTTTATAGTAAGTCTGAGATCAAGATGTCAGCAGGATTAATTTTTCTGAGGCCTCTCTTCTTGTGTTGTAAATAGCCATCTTCTCTCCATGTTTTCATATGATCCTTTCTCTGTATGCATCTGTGTCCTCATCTCTACTTGTAAGGACACCAGTCACACTGGATTAACACTCACTCTAATGGTGTCATTTTAATTTAATGACCTCTTTAGAGACCGTATCTCCACATACAGTCAAATGTAATGTATTTTGAGGTACTAGGGCTAGGATTTGGATATATGAATACTTTGGTGGGGGTGTGGTAGGGGGGAACATCTCCTAATGAATTTTTCATGTTTAAGCCAGGCTAATGGTTTCTTTTGGCTGCAAAAGATGATTTTGTGCATGTGTGAGTGGGTACAAACATTGAATTTGCAATTATTAATATAAGCATCAGACCCCCAAATTAAAGACTTCTAAACATCACCTGAACCTACTGAGTCATACAGGACAAAATGCAAACTCTTCCAAATGGTTAACACACTTTCTATTGCTTGTTCCATCATGGATTACACCAATATTCCCAACAATTTCAACATTATGATGAGAAAAGATATTGTACAGAATTTTTTTGTGTCCGAGTTTCAGAAATTTTGAGTGCAAAATAGTTCTGTCAGTTGCTCTTATGCACAGGAAATACTTACCACAAGTATCTCTCTAGAACTATTAATAGCTATGGTCAATGAGTGTGTCAACTCCAGACCCTCCTAGCATCATCTGCGTGAAGGCCAACCACTGAAATGAAAATCAATATTGTTAAAAGCCACTTTATAACATAAGAATCATGTTTACTTTTAAAGTAGCACAGCTCTGTTATCATGTTTGTGTTATCAAATACAAAGGATGTAGATGGGAGATAAGGTAGCAGCTATAAATCAAACTCTCAATGTCCTTCTTTTATAAAGTGATATGATCCCCTTATCACAAGATTACTCCCAGTCAGTCATACGGACTATATTCATAAAGCATCTCCTATGTCACACTCTTTACTATTTGTTGGGAGGGTTATGTAAGTAAAATTTAAATATAAAATATAAATACACAATACAAACTTGGCAATCAAAAATGTAAGTATAATTTGTGTCTTCAGAAAAAAATAAAAGGATGGGGTAAATTCCTAGCTGATATTGTATGGGTGGTTGTGGTGTTGGGGATGGTGGTGAAGGTAAGAGAATCTATCTGAAGTAAAAAAAAAAAAAGTTTTAAAACAAGGGGCCAAGAGGCTTGGGTTTTGAACACCATGCAAGGTAGAAAATTATGTAAAAAGTTCTCTATGTTGTTGATCAATAAATATTTTCAGTGAATGCATACAAAGCATGAGTGCAAATTATCTGCAACTATCTCAGATTAGATGTTAACTTTGGGAGAGAGGAAAGAAAAAAATGCCTTCATAGGTATCTGTAAATTTTGTTTGTTCATTTTTTAAACTTGCCATGAAGGAAATTTGGACGAAAGTGTTAATACATGTTACATATGTGAGCCATATTATCTTGAATCATTTATTTATCTGAATCTTTTTATTATAAATCCCAAATATGTACTTGGACATAATTTTATTTTCAGTATCTTTAGTCATTTGGCTCACATGCATTTCATAATCAACACTTTTTATTTTATACAAGCATTAACTTCAACTAATATATTATTTTATCCATTTATTTTTGTTATTATAACAGATTACCTGTAATCTTGTCTCCTTATTTTGTGAATATACCCTTTACCCAACACATAATTGAAGAGTCGGTGTTTTCCCTCTGACTATTCTTGGTTCCCTCGTCAAATGTTAATTGACAGTGTATGTGTGGGTTTATGTCTGGGTGCATGATCACAAGTCGAATTGCATGCCCACCTATTTAGTTTAATACACGTACTTAGTTTACTTGTCTCAACAACCATGCCTAGATTACCCACAAAAGCTTCATTAGACATCAGTCAGCCATTGTTTTTGAAAGATTTAACATAATACATCAATTTGTATGACTTTAAGTAAACCCAGGCAGAATAAATGTTTTGATTCTAATGCTGATAATCTTCAAGACATGTCTATTTAAATTAAATCAAACTTAAATTAGCTTGAATATGAAATATTTTCCCAGATCATGTGAACTTGAAAAACACATGGATTAGTTTTTATCAGAATTTCTGAAAGCTTTGGAATGCCCAATTCTTACAAGTGTTTGTCTTTAAACCAATTTTAACAATACCATCTGGTGGTGTATACAATATAGGTATCTCTCCCATTTATAACATGTAAGAACACATACATAGACACACACACAGACCAATCCAAAGACTTTCCTGTTACTACTATTTGTGGAGATTTTATTTAACCAGTTATTAATTTCTAAATATTTCATTTCCTTTTTAAAATTTTTTGGTCTAAATTTAGTGCATGGATCTACCAGCTCAGCAGCAGTATGATTCCCTTATAGTGGTATGTACGTGCCAAGCAGGAGGTGACACTTTTTGAGTGACCACCATTCTCGCACCTAACACAGGGACCTCTATCTTATTAGCAGAATCTCACACCTGTTAGCATGGTTTTGATTAGCATTTCTCAGGTGATTAGTGATGTTGGTCATTTGTAAATCATCTTTGGAGAAATGCCTATTCAAGTCCTTTGCTATTTTTTAATAGGATTTTTTCTTGATGAGTCATAGAAATCTTTATATATTCTGGGTATTAAACCCTTATCAGATATGTAATTTGCAAATATTTTTTCCATACTGCAGGTTAACTTTTCACTCTGGTGATTGTGTCCCTTGATGCACAAAACCTTTTAAGTTTGATGTAGTCCTGTTCATCTATTTTTGTTTTTGTTGTCTGTATTTTTGGTATCATGTAAAAGAAACTACTGCCAAGTCCAATATCATGGAGATTTTCCTGTATGTTTTCTTTTTGAGTGTAATAGTTTTAGATCTTATGCTTAGGTCTTCAATCCATTTTGAGTTACTTTTTGTATATAGTGTAAGGTAAGGGTCCAGTTTCATTCTTTTGCATAGAGGCATCTCGTTTTCCCAACATCATTTGTTGAAGATACTGTCTTTCCCCACTGAGCAGTCTTGGCACCCTTGTTGAAGATCATGTTGTCATATACATGAGGGTTTATTTCTGGGCTGTCCATTGTATTTCATTGGTTTATTTGTCTGTCTTTGTACTAGTTAACTGCACTGTTTTTGATTACTGTAGAATCATAATATGTTTTGAAATTAGTAAGTGTGAGTTTCAACTTTTTTCTTCTTTTTCAAAATTGTTTGTGTATTTTATGTTCCTAGAGATCACATATGAATTTTAGGATAATTTATATTCCTGGAAAAAAAAATGTCATTGAGATTGGGATAGGATGCACTGAATCTATGGATCACTTTGGGTAGTATGCATATCTCTACAATACAAAGTCTTCCAATTCATGACCATGTCTTTTCATTTATTTATATCTTTAATTTCTTTCAGCAGTGCTTTATAGTTTTCAGTGCAAAGTCTTTCACTCCTCAACTGAGTTTATTCCCAAGCATTTTTTTGTTTTTGATGCTATTGCAAATGGAATGATTTCCTTTATTTCTTTTTTAGATTGTTCTTCATTAGGGTAAAAAAAATGGAACTGATTTCTGTGTGTTGACGTTGAGTCCTGCAACTTAACTGAATTCGTATATTAGTTCTAACAGGTGTGTGTGTGTAGTCATTAGAGTTTTCCACATATAAGATCATGGCATCTCTGAGCAGATAATTTTACTTCTTTTTTTTCCAGTTTGGGTGCTTTTTTTCTTTTTCTTGCCTAATTGTTCTGGCTAGAACTTCCAATATTATGTTGAATAGAATTAGTGATGGTTTTTTTAGTGCATTCCTCACCACAGACTAACTGTGTCTTGGGAAGGAAAGGAGTACATGTGGCAGGATTCTCCATTATTAATAAGTTCAGGTGGTCCTTATATATACTAAAACTTAATTTTGGAAGATTGTGTGTATTCTAACAATTTAGATGAGGTATGTGGCAGAAGCAAATATCAGAGCACAAATTAAGTGACTGTTAGTTATCAAATAGATAGTTAAAAAACATTTTAATTGACTCACTAAAGGGTGCAATAAAATGGCATTATTGCCTGTTTTAGTAACAAGATACATTCTGCTCAAGATTTCCAGAGTTTTTAGAGAGGATAATCATTGGTGCATCACTCTAGAAATTAAACTCTCACAAGAAAATAAGAATAAATATCTTACAAATCTTTAAGTTCAGAGTATTATTAAAAGAATTCTGGATATACTTTCATAATAATGATTCATATGTTTCTAAAAGCAGCACAAAACTTTTGTTTGTGCCACCATGATCTTAAATTATAAGCTGCTTCTTGTATATGTAATAGACAAGTATAGAGTACAATATATACAATATAGAGTTCGGCTGTTCAACTCTCCCAAATGCTTATTTTTTATTTCATAATTATCCATGGTCCTTAAGGAGTAAGTGTATCCCTCTGTGACACACTATCTTCATCTTCCTATCTTCTGGTGTTCAAAGCCAGGAGACTGCCACTGTCCAGTAATTCTACCCTGATTATAGTAAATTTCTTTGAGGGAATTTCTGGTTTTCTCTTTTCTTATTTGTAATGTCAGAATGTCAGACCTGGTGACATCCAAGGTCTTCTTAAGGTTTTATGCCTGAGTATCCTTCAAAGAAATAGGAAATTCCATAGACTCAAGTCCTCCACTTTCTATAATTCTGATAGATTTCACAGTTTTTGCTTATCTGGAGATGATTATCACGAGTGCCTTTAGAACTAAGGTACGAGTAGTCTATTGATCTTCAGCTCTTTACTTTTTCTATTGTATTACTCAGGGACCTTTTCCACATTTACAACTCTATTTTCCACATTTTGCAACTTTGGAGCACTAATATTTCAGGAAGAATTTAGAGCCTTTGGACAGCATCGTGCAGTTTTTTGCATGAATATTTATTGTTTGCAACATTTTATTAAATATTATTTATCTTCATTACTGAGTTTTTTGGAGGCCTCCTTACATTTGTACCGTAAGTGAATGCCTCATTTTCCTCTCTCTGGTCCTGACCCTGAAAGAGATATTCAGAAGGTATAGTTAGAGAGACAAAAACAGAGAAAATTTCCCAGAGTTTTGTGAAACAACAGGCCAGTTCATTAAAGTAGATATTACAAGTATAGTGGACATGCAGTAAGTGGATTGTCTCACTAATTTATGGAGAAAGCCCACAGCTAGAAAGTGTGGGTGGGTGGGGATACAAGAGAGATAACAAAGCATTTCAGACTGGGCACTTCCTTTTGCTGATCTTACCTCACAGAACTTGGAGTTTGTCCACATGAGTTTAGTACCACATTTTCCTGTTTGCAATGGACGGCCAAGTGACATATGCCGACTTAAGTGTGTCCCGGAATTGTCTCCCTAAAAGTTCTTCACCTCCATCTCTTCCTCAGGGTAAGTGGCTTCAGTTTTCTTTGTAGCATTTATATATATCTTCAAGAAATTATGCTCTTAAATGTATGGCTTCAAATCATTGCTTTGAAGAAGAGGGGCAGTTTTATATTAATGTGAAATATAGCATAGCTTGCCTATAAATCATAACAACTGTGGAGAAAAACACATACCTCAAAGATTTCCTTTTTTGTCAAGATATCAGTATGAAAAATGACCATAGCTTCTATGACTGAGCCTTGGTTAAAAGACCTGAAGAAGTATTTTATGCACAAAGAAATCCTTATACGAACAAAGGAATATTTTTAAGACACATTGCTACCTTGCTCTAACAGTGACCTGCCTTATTCCATAACCCTCAATAAAATACTAATACTATGATTAATTTCCAATGGGTTTTAATGCATAGCTTTCCTTTTAGGATACAAAGTGTAGGCTTAATAATTAACATCCTTCACTCTCCAAAGAGAAGGAGAAAAAATTTCTGGAAAAAATTTGTATTCTAGATCAAAAACTTGAATGTAACTGCAATCAGATAGTTTCTAACTTTGAATGAAACTTGATACTTGGAAAACATCACAGCTTAGAAGGAGATAAGCCACAAGACACTGGAAAGTATCACTAATGAGCCTATTTTGACATTTGTTGAAATTGAAACTTTTCTGAGTATCAGAGGAGTTAGTATTCTGAGTGAAAGAAATGAGGAACCAAAACGTGAGATAGTAAGTAACAGATACTATGCCCTGGAGATGGATGAAAATAGACCAGAAACTAGGCAAAAAATATGAAATTTTCATGACCTTCTGAAATTTAACCAAATTTACTAACATCAATAATATTGCAATTTTTATCCAACCTGATACTCATTCCATTGTGCCAAGAAGGTCAGTTTTGCCCTTTTAGGGTAGTGTTGTCTGAAACTATTAAATTACCAATGTTCTAAATTGAGGGGGAAAAAAACCTGAGGGTTATCACATAAGTTTCACTATGCTCTTCATATGGAGGTTAAGTGAAATTGGAGAATTTTGACATCCACAGTCAGGGTTTGGTCAAACCACGGTTATTGTTTTGATGGGAAAGAGCATGATTTTCTTTTTCCCTATTCAGATCTAGCAAGGTGGGGAGAACTGTGTTTTGAAAAGGGATATCAGAAAAAGAATATAGAGAAAGACAGTGAGATTTTTCTCAAAAGCTGCTATCTATGATCAAAAGCTGCAAATCAATGGGTCCAAAAAGACTTGTCTTAGATGCTATACATTTGATCCAAGTTGAAGATGATTGTTCTAGATGACAATGAAGCAGTGGGATCCAGGTCCAAGAATAGAATTCTTGTATATCACCAGCACCTAAACAGTGTTTGGCACAAAATAGAGCCTCAATAAATATATCTTGAAGAAATGAATGTCATCCTTTTTAGACAAAATTAATTGACTGACTTTCTACAATAGTACACAGGCTTCCTTTTTGTTAGCACTTGGCAATTTTTCAAAACATCTTCATATCCACCTCATTTGATTCTTCCACCAGTAACAATCCTTTTGCACATAAAACAAGCATAAATATTTCTATTATTTTAGTAAAACTTCCAGTTAAATCTGACTGAAAATCCATCTCGTGGGACTCTACTTTGAGATGGCTAATAAATGTTCTTCCCTGTCCCCAACTCCCAACCTGAATCTGTCCATACATGATCCAAACCACCTTTGCTTTTTGTACCAAATGAACTCAGTTGAGTTAACTCAGTGTATTTTCTTTACTACATAGATGTTTGCCAAGGTCCCCTTTGGCATCGTTTTGCTCTGAAACTTTGTTGTGTTGGGGTTATGCTTCTTACCTTGACTGTGATTGGGTTAAGTGCTTCAGGTAAGTGGTTCAAGATCACTTGCTTCAGAATATTTACTTTACTTCTATCATAAATATTAAGAGTATCTCAAAATAATTTGGTCACCCCAAACTTAGTGAAAGCCAATGAAGTAAATATAATTACAAAACAATGTCTCTAACAATGCTCTGCCCATATCCACTTAGCAAACTTCATCCTTTTGCATTTCTCTTCCTAACTGTTCGAATAGTCATCATAGGTATCTTACCTGTGCTCCAAGAACTTAGAAAAAAACCCACAACAATGAAATAAAAACACATGACAATAACAAAGAAAATAAAAATTTCAATTACTTACAGTTGCGTCTCTCCCTGGGGATAGGCACAATTACACTCATTATGAAAGTAAGTTCAGGCAGGAGTACAAGCAACTTAAGAGTGTAAGTAGCTCATTTTAAGTCCACATGTCTAATGGGTAACCCAGTGTCTGTGCGAGTTTATTTGTTAGGTGTTCTATCCTGTTTATGTATACTGTCTTCTAACTAGACCCTTTGTAACCACATTGCTATTGCCTTTTTGTTCTATCCTTATTCAAGCTTGTTGAGCTTAGTTTTCTAAGTGATAAATATATCCATTTCACCACACATTTCAACAATTAATCTTCTTGATGGTGTCTCCTTACTTACCAGTGGTATTTTTAAGACAAAAATTATCAATAGATAAAAGCAGTATGGATGTGGAAGAGAACAGGAATGAAACAACAGGTAATTTTGTGGCTTTAAATTTCTACAAATGGCAGACAGCATTTTGATAGATGTCATGCATTACCTTAGTTAAGGCTCATAACAACCCATATGTTAAGATAATGTTATCACTTTGATTTGTAAGTGGAATACTTAATGATTTTAATGAACATGTCCAACAGTTAACTTTGGTCTGTAGTTAATTAATAGAACTCAAAACATAAAATGAATTATTTATTATTTATTGTGTTAATATTTATTGTATTAATCACTAGAACATTAATTTTGTTCCAGTAAGTCACATGTGTTAGTAAAGACACAATTGTTGAATGACTGTAGCAGAATGTGATAATTTATTATGCACATTTTTACAGAACTGAAATTTTAAGAAATCTGGAAAATCCTGGAAAAATGCTATTCAATAGATCTCATTAACAGGCAAACAAAAAATGTGGCGCTGAGACATTTTTCATGGTATTTTCATTAGCAAAATGAATTATTTGCTTTGCATTTAGCGTGTCATACAAAGTAACAAAGTTTAGGCAACTTTGATATTGTTGTCCATGTAGTAGAATTAGCACTGTTGATGAATTTAAGGAAACTCAGAAATAGTTATGACTCTACCACTGTCTGATTGTGTCGAGTTGAGCAAATTTTTTCTGTCAGTATCTTAAAATGTAAAATGTGGCTGCTTAAATTATTTTGATGGCCTCTTCTTATTCTAATATTCTATGATTCCATTTATGCTCTATATAACTGGTCACTAATTTCCAATTCTTGGTACCAGAATGAACAGTAGGTCTCATAAACCTCAAAATTATAATAATCAATTGTTCTCAATGATAGTTGAAGACATCTGTGCATTTATAATGACTTGTACCTATATGATTAGTTGTGACAGAGTAAGGACAGGTTAGAAATATAACTCTTATTTATTTCTTTTCCCTCTTTCTCACTTTAGAGAGACCAGGTCTGTTAAAGTGCCCATTGGACTGGTTGCCAATCCAAGAGAAATGCCTGTTTTTTTCTAGAACTTTTAAGTCTTGGAATGACAGTCTAGCTGACTGTTCCACAAAAGAATCCAGTTTGCTGCTTATTAAAGATCAGGAAGAATTGGTAAGTAATTAAATAAAATGCTTTAATAGAACTTAGCACCTTCTTCTGACCATGTTGAGATCTTTGGGTTTTAGCTTAAAGGTTCTATGCAGATGGAAGAAGTTTTGACTTCAAGAAGCTCACAATGTGAAAGACTAAATGGACATGTAAGCAAATAATTGAATATACTTTTATGAGTACAACAATAAAAATATTTATAGAAATATCACAAAGAAAGAATAACAGACTCCGATGGAAAGTTAGGAAAAGCATCATAGAGGATGTGATATTTGATCCAGGTTTTAGAGGACAAATAGAATGCAAACCATGGATAGACCAACAGGTTTAATATTCAGTAATTTCTTCTGTTTCATTTATAGAGACTTATACAGAACGAGATAAGTGATGGAGGCATTCTATATTGGATTGGATTAAATTGTACATTATCAGAGAAGAAGTGGAAGTGGATTAATGGCTCCTTTTCAAATTCTAATATGTGAGTATTAAAAGCTAATTTGAATATTCAGTTTTCATCAGGTAAATATAGTATAATAAAGCTAATTTGAATATTCAGTCCGCATCAGGTTTACAATGGAAGATAGCAACATTATAACTGAAGATGGAGTTTTGCAGTTCTAATTTAGGTAGAAATTTTCGAGAGTTTCAGAATAGGCTGAGATGAATGATTCTGAAGTGGGTTGAAAGGTTCCATGTACAAAGACATCAGCCCTTCATAACAATATATACTTTTATCTGCAATGGAGTTTTAGGAGACAAGGCATAGACTAACTTCTTTGGGAGGAGCAAATGAAATTTTAAAATCTCTAGCTGGAGGCTATTGGTACACAGAATTTTTCTGTAGTGTTTTTCAAATTTTAGAAAAATGTACCTTAGTGGGTCACAGCAAGTATTGTGACCCACTAGAATATGAAAAGGAAGAAGTTAGTAAGTGCCAGACTGGAACCCACACCCAGACACTTAAGAGAAACTCCCCACTTTGTGACAAATATTGTAGTGTATTTTGAACAGTACAGAAAAAAGACAGTTATTGGCTAGGCTGTGATAAACATGCATAGGCCACAAAGGAGCTATTTGCTGTTTTCTGTTGGGCATCTCATTTTAGTTTCTTGTGTAAGATGGTCAAAATAACCATCAGTGTAATAGGAGCATTGATGCTACACAGTCCACTTACATATTTTTGCAGAATCCATGGTTAATTGTGCAGCAAAGGGCAGGATATTTTTTCCCTCACTAGCAAAAGTGTACAGGCATTCAACCAAGTATCTGTAGAGAATATGATGAATTTTTCAGAAGTGATAACATTGTTATGTTTTTTGAGTTTGTCAGTCACTTACTCAAATTTGTATAAATTAAAGTTAAAATGCTTACTATCATTCAACAAACAAGCAGTTGAAACTTAAAACACAGGATCATGTTCAAGTTTATCTAAATTATAATGATAATTTATTAAGTACAGAAAGTATTAAACATTGAAAGAAATGTTGACTTAATGAGTTTAGACATCATTTGACCCATGTTCTAAAATATTTTTTTAAATGTCAGACTTTAAAATGAAAATTATTTTAAATAAGTATTTGGACTAGAATAAATATATGAAAAAGCAAACATATTCATTCTGTTTAATAAAACCTATCCTGACTTTTTATATGCTTTCTGAGGATTATTTTCTATACCTTATTTACATGTAAGTGAAACTCTAATATTGACTTTTTATTTTTTCATGCATAGTTAATTTTGGTTTATTAAATTTAGTGTGTGTGTGGTGTGTGTGTGTGTATCTCTGTGTATGTTTCTAATTAGGCAGTGATTATTTTACTAAGGCTCATAATGAAATTGGAAAACACTGAAATGTCTATGAGCAGAAATAGACGTAATGTGGATGAGTTAAATTCAGCTGGACATTCCATCTTATTCTGAGGATAAGAATTATGCTCTGATTAAGTTGGTGGTGATGAGGCAAACCTCGAAGATACCAGGTTATAGTAAAAAGAGCATCAGTCAGGCTCGGCTTTGATTTTCACCCTTAGCCCTGGTTTTCAGGTGAGGAAAAATACAGAGGGGGATCATTTTTTTCACAGGACTGTCTTTGAGATTTAATGAGACAAGGTTAGAGAACTAGGCAGAAATCTGGTCAAGAAGGGCTCAGGATGCCTTTGAGGGCCTGTTGGAAAGGTGGCCATCAACTTGGCCATGAGCATTAAAAGAGGCGTCTAGAAAACTGAAGAAAGGATCAGAAAGGCAGAAGAAATAAAATGTAAGGGACTTTGCAATAGCCTAGCTGAGGAAACTTACAATTTCATAGAGTGCCGGGCACTGGGAAGGAATTAGATTGGCTCCTCAGGCCCAAAGGGTTGCAGGAGGAGATGGGACAGAGGAATGGGTGAGGTGGTGGTGAAAGCCTGCACGCTGCCTCCACTTCCCTGTCTGAGACAAACAGGTGAGTGTCAAACTCCCCCGTCCCTGCACCCCACCCTAATACTGCCTGTCCCATTGGCTTTTACTCTCATCCTACCTGTAGCGAACCACAAGACTCATGCTTATTTGGAACTAGTAGTATATTGAAGCAGACACCCAAATTCCATGGGCCCTGTCTATCCACCATCGCTCCGGACTTACTCCATTTACTGAGCATGTGTTTTGTTTAAGCATTGGCACATTTTCACATGTCAACTCAATGCCTCCCTCAAATATTAGGTGGTTATGTCCTGTATATTTAACAAAATTGAGGCTCAAAGAAATTAATAAAATTTCCACACATGTTAATAATAGAAGGAGATTCAACCCCCAGTCTCTAAAGCCTATTTTTAAAAATATATCAATATGAAGCTTCTTGTTAGAAGGATTCTTTTCTAGTGATGATGAGCTTACAAGTTCCAGGGATTTATATTAGCTTCATATTAGAAGTTAGTATCATTATATTTGTGTCTGTGTACTATTTACTCAATGCTTACTAATTTAGAATCCCAGTGTTTACTAAAAATTATAGGAAATATTTGCTGGATGAGGACAATTACATGAGAAAATCCCAAACACTAAGAGATATTTTTCTTTTCTTCCATAGATTAAAAATTACTGGTAATGCTGAAGAAAACAGCTGTGTTTACATCTCATGGACACAAATTACTTCTGAGAGCTGTGAAGTAGAAAATAAGTGGATTTGTCAAAAAGAACTAAAACCTACCAGAAAAAAAGTGTGTTCTGCCTCTTGACTATGCATCCCCTCACAATTTCTTTACTTTCCATTACAGGTCTCTATGATTTTAACTCTATATATCCTGTTAAAATGGCTGAAGGTACATTTAGTGGCACAAAGTGAACAAATACTGAGGATTCTAAAATGATCGTGACTCTTACAGAAGCTCATGTCCAACCTGTCATTCTATAAATGAGGAAATAATGAGCCACTTCCTTCTCCGTACTTGTTAGATCTAAAATTAAGCACCGCTAAAGCACACATCTGTAAGAAACTTTTACAATAAAACGAACCTCAAGAGTTTAGGTCTGTCACTGTCATTTGCTGTCGCTGCCGATCAGAGAATCAAGTGAACTTTCTACTGGATATGATACTGCAGAGGTCATCTCTGAAACTCAAATTATGAAGATGAGGAAGGCATACTCTAGGCAGAGTAAAAAATATTAGATGTAAGGGGAAATTTTGTTTACAGTAATTGAGTCAATGTTTCTTGACAGTAAACTAGGTACAGTTCCAAACCAGGTCAAAAGAGATACTGTCATGTCATTCGAGTTCTGCCATTTACACTGGGTCTAGGTAGCCCAGGTTCTGGGCACACTGACCCCTTATCATTCTCCAAACACATCCTGACGTTTTATGGTTTCATGGTTTAATGTGTCAACGAAAATCAGCATGGCTGTTATTGATAGTCTGACTGAGCTTTACAATCAGCCTATAATCTGGGAGAACTTTTGGGTAAACTGCACCAAAGTCCCTTCATTTGGAGATGACTTAAATACCTTTTCTACATCAGGGGCTATGTGCAGAAAAGAGGTTACATCTGTCAATACGACAATGGATGTGACAAGGGTACATCTAGTTAGTGTCCTACACGTTCATGCTTGGCACGTTCCTGTGAAGTCTAAGTGTGTGAGAGGAGGCAAATATCAGGACTGTCATAAACAGAAAGAAAAAGGATTATTTGGGGTGAGATCACCTTTGTTCGGGGACAAAGGGTCTTATTTGGTGGATTACCTCATCTTCCTTTGGGGAATGGAGAGGGCACATGTGACATTCTCTTGTCAATGCTGACCAGAAAATGCCTGCTGACTCCATTTCTGGGGGAGGTTGACACTGCAATTAGGTCAGGGATTAAGGCCTGGCGTGGTGACCTGGCCTAACAGACATGACACCCTGCTGGCCCTGTAGTCTTCTTTTTAACAATTCTTCCCTTTCAGTCAGACTCAGCTTCACTGAGATACATGATCAAAATGTAGGGCATCAGCCCCACTCTCAGCCCAGCTCTGCAGTCCCCACAGTTTTTCTTGCTCCTCTTGTGTGGCATCCATGGGTCATGACGTTTCTGCTTTACCCCCATGATACTCAGGTTAACTTCAGTTTCATGACCCTTATGTTAGTTGTTTTCTTTGATTCTCCTCCTAAGTTCTAGTCTCAAGGAGATCATGTGCTTGGTAGTTAGCAGCTGCTTACATATATGTAAAGCTTTTGAGAGGATCTGGGCACCAGGGAAATTATTATGATAACCGTAAGCAGGGTAAGTCCCAATATTTGGAGTGCACTTTGATGCCATTTAAGGTCCTCAAGACTTACATCAACCAAAATAAAATAGGTAGTTATCCCTTTAAGCCAAGTGACTTGCTCAGTGAGCTTAAGTGAGATTCACCCTTCCCAGGAGTGTTGATGTGGGTGCAGCAGGTGGCATGGGCCACAGCATAGGCCCCTCCTTGCTCAGCTAAAAGATAATCAGGAGCCATCCTGTTCTCAAGAATGACTTTGTCCACAGTATCTAAGACAAATACAGGCAAATACAGAAAGTTAAAGACTTAGTTCTTTTCATATTGAAAAGATTCAGTTTTCTTAAGAAATCAAAGGTCTGATAAAAATAAGACATACAATGTTTCTAGGTAGACTACCTTAAAGGTAAGAAAAAACCCTTCATTTATGATTTTTTATTAAGAGTGGGCCAATAATCTAAGAAAACTTTGTCCTTTGTTAACAGAGAGAAAAACACCAAATCTTAATTTTGCAACAGCTTACTTTTGACATTAAAAAATCATTTTTTAAAAATTCATTTTAATTTGAGCTAGCTTGATCACACATTAAAATTCTTTACCCAAGTTTCCTCCTTTTAATAAACCTTCTATTACTTTCTTTTTTTAAATTCCAATTTTGTCCTGAGTTTCCTTCTTTAAGTAACCAAAATCTTACTTTTAGAACAAAATTACTTTCTCTTTCAACAAAAAATGCATTTCCATTCCTCATACCTTCCTTTGTACTGAAAAAACACATGCAATTTTTCTTGTACACAGGGATGTTTCTCTTATATTTCTGGTTGCTTTAACCACAGATACAAATTAGAATTCTTAACTTTGAGAAACTGTAATTTCTAAAAATTTCCTAATTTCTTGATTTCTAGTCAAAATTTAAGTAGTAATCAATTATAAACTGTTACACCAGCATTCTTTAGGTTGGCAAATTCATGAGTACATTTCATAATTTCTAGAAATGTATTTTTTCATAGAGCAATCTTTCAATAAAGGTCAAAATATGTTTACCAACAGATCCAAATATATCTTTGGTTTCTTTATAATAGATAAAAATAGGTAAACTTAGACTTGTTTAATGATTAATGTTTCAGCATTTTATTTGGAAATGATCTAGATATTCAATGAATTCCCTTCAGTTAATTTAACTTAGCAAAATTAAGGGTTCAGGTTACCAAAATGATTTTGAAAGCCATTTTTAAGTAAAGGTTTTATCATATCAAGTTATTGCTGACAGATTTTGTAACAGAGATAGCATGAGCTTATTCTTAGTAAACCTAGGTAGAATTAAAGTATACTTAATGCTGATAATTCAAAAGACACGTCTATTTTATTAAACCAAAAACATCAGCTAGTTTTTATTTACTGAAAATTATCATAGATCACATGAACTTGAAAAGCATTTGAGTTCATTTTTATTATTCTGAGATTTAGAAATACTTCCTTAGATACTTTATTTTTAAACCAATTAAATAGAGCTCTCTAGAGATTAATTTTAGCAATACCATCCAAAGATAGAATATATCACATGTCTACAACACAAGGGATATAAGGGCATATGCAAGCAGAGACTTTATAGTTAATTGTTTTTTTTTCTGGTATCATTAATGTAAAATCACATGAGCAACACTGCAGTTACTAGATTCCCCACAGTATCAAGTCCCCATCACATGCCCCATTACAGTTACTGTCCATCAGTGTAGTAAGATGCTATAGAATCACTACTTGTCTTCTCTGTGCTATATTGCCTTCCCCGTGCTTACCCCTACGTTATGTGTGCTAATCATAATGCCCCTTATTCCCCTTCTCCTTCTCTTCCCACCCACACTCCCCAGTCCCTTTCCCTTTGGTAACTGTTAGTCCATTCTTGGGTTCTGTGAGTCTGCTGCTGTTTTGTTCCTTCAGTTTTTGCTTTGTTCTTATACTCCACAGATGAGTGAAATCATTTGGTACTTGTCTTTCTCCGCCTGGCTTATTTCATTGAGCATAATACCCTCTAGCTCCATCCATGTTGTTGCAAATGGTAGGATTTGTTTTCTTCTTATGGCTGAATAATATTCCATTGTGTATATGTACCACATCTTCTTTATCCATTCATCTACTGATGGACACTTAGGTTGCTTCCATTTCTTGGCTATTGTAAATAGTGCTGCGATAAACAAAGGGGTGCATATATCTTTTTCAAACTGGGCTACTGCATTCTTTGATAAATTCCTAGGAGTGGAATTCCTGGGTCAAATGGTATTTCTATTTTGAGTTTTTTGAGGAACCTCCATAGTGCTTTCCACAATGGGTGAACTGGTTTACATTCCCACCAGCAATGTAGGAGGGTTCCCTTTCTCCGCAATCTCGCCAGCATTTGTTGTTCCTAGTCTTTTCTATGTTGGCCATCCTAACTGGTGTGAGGTGATATCTCATTGTGGTTTTAATTTGCATTTCCCTGATAATTAGTGATGTTGAGCAACTTTTTATGTGCCTGTTGGCCATCTGAATTTCTTCTTTGGAGAAGTGTCTGTTCATATCCTCTGCCCATTTTTTAATTGGATTATTTGCTTTTTGGGTGTTGAGGCATGTGAGTTCTTTATATATTTTGGATGTTAACCCCTTGTCGGATATGTCATTTACAAATATATTCTCCCACACTGTAGGATGCCTTTTTATTCTGCTGATGGTGTCTTTTGGTGTACAGAAGATTTTTAACATGATGTAGTCCCATTTGTTCATTTTTTATTTTGTTTCTCTTGCCCAAGGAGGTGTGTTCAGAAAAGTTGTTCATGTTTATATTCAAGAGATTTTTGCCTATGTTTTCTTCTAAGAGTTTTATGGTTCCATGACTTACATTTAGGTCTTCGATCTTGAGTTTACTTTTGTGTATGGGGTTAGACAATAATCCAGTTTCATTCTCTTGCATGTAGCTGTCCAGTTTTGCCAACACCAGTTGCTGAAGAGGTTATCATTTCCCATTGTATGTCCATGGCTCCTTTATCATATATTAATTGACCATATATGCTTGGGTTTATATCTGGGCTCTCTATTCTGTTTCATTGGTCTATGGGTCTGTTCTTGTGCCAGTACCAAATTTTCTTGAGTACTGTGGCTTTGTAGTATTATAGTTACTGTTTTATATATTTTTTAGCTATGAAATGGATATGACAATATAAAACTCACTTGAAGAGACACTTCTCCAAAGAAGAAATTCAGATGGCCAATAGGCACATGAAAAGATGCTCCACATCGCTTGTCATCAGAGAAATGCAAATTAAAACCACAATGAGATATTGCCTCACACCAATAAGGATTGCCATCATCAAAAAAACAGACAACAACAAATGTGGTGAGGTTGTGGAGAAAGAGGTACCCTCCTACACTGCTGGTGGGAAAGTAAATTAGTTCACCCATTGTGGAAAGCAGTATGGAGGTTCCTCAAAATGTTCAAAATAGAAACACCATTTGACCCAGGAATTCCACTCCTAGGAATTTACTCTAAGAATGCAGCACTCCAGTTTGAAAAAGACAGATGCACCCCTATGTTTATTGCTGCACTATTTACAATAGCCAAGATATGGAAGCAACCTAAATGTCCATCAGTAGATGAATGGATAAAGAAGATGTGGTACATATACACAATGGAATATTATTCAGCCATAAGAAGAAAACAAATCCTACCATTTGCAAGAACATGGATGGAGCTAGAGGGTATTATGCTCAATGAAATAAGGCCAGGCAGAGAAAGACAAGTACCAAATGATTTCACTCATC